TTCAATGGTGCTAGTAGCTCTAGTTGAATAACTATGTTTAGCGATTCGTTGTCCCTTTCGGAATTATAGTCCTACCTGCGAGTAATACACAGGTTCTCCCATTGTTATCGAATGTCATTTCAGTCGCGATCGCTTTGGGATGGGCAAAAATAATGGTGATTACTTCGATGTTGAGACACTGTGATAGTCATGAAATAATTCAATATCGTGAAAAGACACAATTTAAAGAATGCGAATGAAACTTTTCAGATAATGAAGTGTAAAAAACCTCGTTCCCCGATGGACATTAATGTCATCTTAACAGAAATTAAATTTTTTGAGACTCATTTGTTAAAATATTTAATGTACCTACTTATATTTCCAAATCCGATATATCTTTCTTTTTTTTTTTAATAAAAATGATCTCTTCATTTTACTATGAAATAAATTAAATTGTAGTATATACAGTATTATCGACTTCTTTTCGGTTTGAACAATAGAAAATAAAGAGTTGGAGCGCGATCCGACGATCGTAAAGATGGAAAGATGCGAGTTCTTATTGCGCGAGATCGCTCGATCGGCGAACTTCCGCGCCAATTGGGCCGCCGCGCCGCGCGGGATAGATCGATATTGCGTGAACGAGTGCGTGAAACGCGTGTTCGAAGATAGGCTACGATGACGCTGTGCGCTGCTGCGCATCGCAAATCGCAAACGCGACACGAAGGAAGAGTGTTTCGCGTTCGTGTCGCACCGTAACAAAACAGAGCGGTACACGTGTACCTTGTTCAATAATGCAACCGCTGTTCTTTCCATTCACGTGGCGATACGTACGTGGACGCTCGGCGTCGCGTTTCTAGCGAGGCTTACGCTCGCCGCGCCGCGCCGCGCCGCGTCGGGATGTTCGTCGCTTCTATACTTCTATAGCCGTCTCGTTTCCATTCCGACGCGATCGACGACGGTCCGTAGTACGTTTCGCGTTTTCGTTACGTTGCTCCTCTTTTTCCCGCTCTGGATTTTCGCTTCCGATCCCGCGAAAGATATGCATTAGCTGCAGCATTTTTAGCTCGGTTAGCTTTGGTCTCTCGATCATCCACGATGAGACATATATTGGTTATACAATCACGGATGACGTAAAGTAAATTCTCGATCCCTCTCATAGAATCGGCGCGATCGTGAAACGAAGAGACGAGGACATGTGTGGATATAACAATATTAAGTTCGGCTTTCTTACGGGACAGTCGTTCGTCTACCGACAGTGTTTCGCTTCTTATAGTGACGTAGTGCGTATGTAGGTGTACATACATATATTGCAGTGAAAGTGTGATTAATTGATGTTTTTATAAAATCATCGGTTACGTCCTGAGTTGAGGAAAATTTAAAATCGCGCGAGTACACGATTGTGGGTGATTTTCGAGGCAGTTAATGTAGGTATTTTGTTCGTTTTACGCTTATCTCTGTGAATTGTAAGAAAAAATATTATTGCGCGCGAAGAAATCTCTGAATTTCTTGAATTTATTAGCTTTTCATCACGAGAGTGTTTCGGTTCAGCGGGACGCGGATAATTATAATCCAGCTGCGAGTCACAGAACAGGATTAGTTGTTCCAACGTATTGATTTTACCCGTCAGTTGATTAAGTTTCGATGTCTATGAGGATGTAGCGTGACACATGTCTATTTTTATCAATGTAGATTAACTTTAATCTCGGCTTTACCGATACTCTTGATCTTTTTCTAATTCTTAAAACTGGTGAAAGATACCAAGTGAATAAAATCGAAATTAAACTTAATCTAATTTGATAGAAATGGACAATTTGGTCAGTTTCACTTGTGACACAGGGGAGATTTTCGAAATGTCGAAATCACACGAAAATAATTTACATAGAGGAAATGTATGCTCGTCCACACGCGACACATGTTCCTTTAATTCATGGAAAGCGACTAGTCGTTCGAGATATTGATTTTATCGAGCACATGATTATTCATTTACAATACCTACTCGTTATGTAGCACATTGTGAACAGCGATTCTGTGTCGATGGGTCGTAATGTCATCGGTTTTTTGGTGATGGAATATAATCCGTTTTTCTGGATTTTAAAACATAGATCTATGCATATAATATATCTATAAGAATTGTCGCAAGAATTTTAGTTTAGGGAATAACGTCGACTTTACTTTAACGCGTTGATTAAATCATCAAGCGAATCGTATCTCAGCGAATTTAATGAAATAAATTCAATATGATGGACCGCAATAATTCAAAAGATCAAACTGCGCTCTGAAATTAATATGTTGAACATTGAATTCATTAATCGTGCGCGTGATAACTAAATTATCCCTTTAGAGTTCTCGTTTTGAATAATAAATCAGTTTCGTTTTTGTCTATTAATCTATCACACACACACACACATTTCAGCACATTATTATTTTTCTAGATTTATATCCATTTCTACAATTTTTTATTTCGTTATATAATTATTTTGTTGTCATATTAATTTACATTTATATTTTCTGTGATAATGTCATATTGTATTATAAATTGATGTTATTTCGCTATGTGCATTACTTATCGTCTCTTCTTTTGTTTCTTAAAACATTTGCTCTATGGTAAATAAATCTAATCTACTTACTTATCTTATCCATACATCGAGTTATCTATCACCTTTTACCGTCCCCACTATTCATGCTTCGTGCTTTATCGTCACGAAGACACGTGGTTTGTGCTACTTATGTAGCGATCTACTTTTAATATTCATGCAATATCGCTCACGGTTAATACGAATTTTCTCTCATTTTGGAAATATCGTTTTAATATAATACTAGATGGGGACAAATGTATGTATTGTATGTATATAATTGGACGAGAGGAGTCATTTCAAAAGTATTAATAATTTGAAAGTGTAGAATAAACTTTTTCTGTCCCAAGTTTTGTTGTAAGCAATTTCTTTAATAAGTGAAATAAAAACAATCTAATTATTTGTCACATTTCCTTTAATTCTGCCACTCGTAAAAATATATAGGTGTGATAAAAAAAATTATAACATTTACACACTAAAAATTTTTGGCAATTGTATGATTATAATTATGTATTACTATAATTATAATTATTGTTACTATGATGTTAGTAATAATTAATATACAGCAGTTCTACCAATCAATATATAATATAGTTTGCAATCGAAATTACAGTCATATTCGGTTGTTAATTATATGTATACTGATAAAATTATAGTTATTATCATTAAAAAAAAAAAACAAGAGAATAGAGGTTTTAGAAATCGACATCGTAATTAACCTAAACTCGATACTTCAAAGAAAAAAATGTTTAATAAGTTTTAAATTAAGCTCAATTTGTCTTCTATTTTCTCTTTTGTTTGTACTTCAACTCAAGGAGTTCAAATTGACAAAGAGGTTCAAAATTATAAATCCGTCGAAACCGGCGGAGGTATACAAACGATTCCAGAGCAGCACCCGTTTACAGGTTCAAAATATCTCAAAGTGAAGTATTAACATTTTTTCAATCCTTTATAATTTTGAGCCTCTTGAGATACAACAGAAAAGGAAGATGGAAAATAAACTAAGATTAATTTAATGCTTATTAAAAAAAATTTTTTTTTCTTAGAGTTTTGAGTACCGGATTCACATAGATCTGTAATTATATTATGCTTTAGATTTATATACTGTTAAAATAAATATTTAATACATCAAAACATCAAAAGACGTTCTATTCACAAGTTAATAGATATTGAAATTATTTGTGTGTACAGCCGGTTACAGAAAGGTTGCAGTACTTTTTTTTCGATGGGTTTCGGAATGCAGTTTGCTCACCGAGTGATTAGTTCTTACTTACTATAGATCTAATCACTTACATTCAATCGCTCTATGATCAAGGCTGAGTTGCAAAATTCATTGAAAAAAAAGTACTGCAATCTTTCTACGACCGGTTTGCGGTTGTATAATCAGTCATAGAAAGGTTGCAACATTTTGACTACGTTCGGCACAGAAAACAGCTTGCAACTGTTGTAAAATTCTTCAATATGATTGGTTCTTGCTTTTGGTTTGTTATATATTTAAACATATAAATCAATTATACTAACGAATTTTACAAGTTGTAAAGTTTTACAACAAGTTATAAAGTGCTTTCTCTGCTAAACGCAGCCCTTTCTTCGATGGGTTTTTGGATCGCAGCCTACTCACCGAGCAATTGGTTTTTATTTGTGGATCCATGAATAGAAACCAATCGCTCGTGAACAAGCTATATTCCGAAACTCACCGAAAAAAAGTGTTACAACCTTTCTGTGATCGGCTGTACATATAACGTATGTTTCCACAAATCGTTTCTTTGTTAAGTGCAACATGCGCACTCGACACGATTTTTAAATTTAATTTAATTTTCTTGGTAACAAAGACAAAAAAGTTTATTCTGCATTTTTTATTTATTTTGATACAATAAAACTGATTAAGAAATCAGTCTCTCTCTCCCCCTCTCTTTCTCATTCTCTTCACTTTTCATATGTAACAATAATTCATAAAATAAATAATCGAAAAAATCCTGATATAGCATTGATCTAATGCAAACAAGTAGATATTAAATAAAACTTACAGACTTACAGTTCAACTTCATGTTTTATGATTATTAACATTAATAACACATATTCACGTTTAAATCAAATACAGTACTTCTGTGAGCAAATTATTTTTTTGACAAATGAAAAGATAATTGGATCTTGTGACGTAATATGGATGTTACATATAATAGCAATATAATTATTGAATTTAAACATGCGATATCAAGCATATTAAATATTTATCTGGACGTCTAATATTTATTTAGACGTCTCAAATGTATTATAAGATATTATAGACTGTTACAATTATACTCGGTAACTCACAATTTAATTGTTTGAAAAAAATAAGACGTCTCGCGACAAATACTTGCCGCTCGCGTCAGAAATTCGCGCATAAACCGCCGTGCATAATTTAATGCTAATGCATAATGAAAGTGTACATGTATATTTTCCAGAATGCAGGAACTGGCATTCCCGCGCCGAAAAGGGATCCTCACCCCGGTATCGGTGTTAGTGCTGCTGATACTATCATTGGTCGATTTACCCTCTGCAAACGGTGAGTCACCTACGAATGAGCCGAGAGTTGGCTGCGTACAAGTATATATACACGTGTGATTGCTGAGTGAGTGTGTACGTTACTGTCTTCGATAATATGCGAACAATGAGAGAACGGCGAATAATTACATTTATTCGTTCACATGAGCGTCCTTGAACACCACTTTATCGTACTTCACTATATTCCTATGCCGGTGTATCGTAATGTGTTTTTTAAAATCTTTTTCACATTCTTTAAGATGACAGTAATCTCTACTATGAAACAAACTAAAGAAAAACGGTGTTAAGTGCGGCGTTATCGAGTGAAGTCACCATGTTGATATGTAACATTGTTAACATTGCTTTAGAGCCTCTTAGAGATTATTATGTTTGGAATGATATCTATTTTATTATTTTAGCTCTCTTTCAGAGCTACATGTCAAATAGGGATGCATGGAGTAAATCCTCGTGAAATTCGAGAAAGTTATTTGGACAATTACGAGAGCTCTATGCTTTCGGAAATAAATTCGTGTTAACTCGGAATTTGAATACTTTATTGCTTATATTTTTATTGCCTTTCTGATTTAATAAAAAAAAATATGAGATATTAATTATTGGAATGTTTTTATTAATTTCGCCCGCGTAAAAATGTCATGAAAAATTTTACGGTATTCAGAAATAAATGCATTTGTGAGTAAAAGGTATTTTTTTGTTTATATATATACATATATAAAAGAGCGGAGATTTATTTTCTATTGAAATTTTTAATTTGAAATTTCAACAAACGACAACGATCTTTTATCATTTCATCAGTCTGTGAAATTTTAATGACATATTAAACATAGTTGAACAGTATGATATTTTTATGAATTCATCAAGATAAAGTCATTGTGTTAAGATTAATAAAATAGGTTTGTGTTATTTATAATAATAATAAGTTAAATTAAATTACTGTTTATAACAGTAACGTAAACAAAGAAAGCATGAAAATGACTGATAATATTTTTATGTGAATATTATTAAATACATTTTTTTCCAGTTTTTTAAACTGTGCGCTGAACACAGCCGGTTTTAAAAATTACAGTCTAAATTTCACAAATTACATTGATCCTTAATCGAATAATATTAATGCTAACAACACTAGTTGACAATGATTTTGTTAAATGGATAATTTTGACTGATTTTTAATATATTTTTTGATATTGATTCTGAAAATAAAATTAGCTCAAAAATGTATGAAATACTTTACAAGATTGACTTACAATAAAAAAAAAAATAAGTGAAATATATATATGTATATATGATATTATAGTGTAAGCATTTTAAAACACTGCAAAGGATTTATTTACGTTATTTATTTATCCTCGAGAAATGCGCAAAAAAAAAACTCCCTTTTTCTTAATAAAAAAAGACACTCAGCTTGGGAACGCACTTTCTTCTTAAAGGCCAGCAGTCATCTCGGTTTCACAAAGAAATCGTTGCCACGTGCACGAGAAGTGCATTTAACACATTGTATAAAAGGAATATATTTAAATGTGGAACTTGGACACTCCATTTCCGCTACGAGGAAACCCATTCGTCATGTTTCTCCGGGTTAAGTCGTCTTCTTGGGTTTCCTCGTGTCTCCCATCCGATTGCGGTGTCGCGCGCGCGCGAGGAACCACGCGCTTTCGTACGTCCGCGCTGCGCGGACGTACTCGTTAGCTCGTTAACGAGTGGTTTTCCCCCGCTTTTCTACGGCTTCACGCCTTACCCGCGGGCTTCTCTCGAAAAGATGCTCGCTCTTAAAGACGCGAGACGCACAAAACCATCGTCGTCGCCACTGCCTGTCGAGCGGCTGTCCGCGCTCCTGCGATATCTGTCGCCGGCTCGCCGCTTCTTCTCGTCGTCGAAGAGATCGCGACAGAGACAGGATAAAAGGGGGAACGGAGAGGTAAGAGGAGAGACGCCACCCTCTTTCCCGCCTACGACGGCTACGTCGAGATAAATGATGTTTCTTCGACGAAAGATGCGTGTCTAAAACGGTCGACGCTCTTTCTCGTTTTTCCTCCTTTTCGTTTGTGCTATATGCCGGCGTGGCGCGGCATTCCACAATTCACAATCCACACTGCTAGCTGCATAGCATACAAGGTGTCTGAGAACTACCATCCCAGTCGGAGTCGAGCTAAATCTTGCGGAGAGGAAGGTGATAACTTCTTCCACGTTACAAGCGATCTATAAGTTTAGGTCCACAATCTTGCTCTAAGAGGCTGTAAGCCACAAAACTGTAAGAAATTGACCAATTACAGTCGAATATATTAAAAATAATCGACTGAACTAAGAGTCACGAAAAGACACGCTTTTCCTGCAAAGCATGAGAGTAATCATCGGCCGTGGTTCAACGTTCACTTGAACGTGCGTTGTAGGAAGTAACCGTGTTGCTTTCCTGGTGTGTTCGAACGACTTTAGAACTCTAATTAGAGATGACTTATGTCGACTGTTACGGGTAATGGCCTCCTACGAAATATCCCCCTCGGGGAAACACCGACTCCATTTTCGTCGACGTACTCGTCATTAATATTAAAGGCTGGATCGGTTCTGGGACACCCCGTAGACGCTGTCGCGTGTGTATCCCATTTCCCTTCGCGCACCCTCCGTTCCTCCGTCCTCTTCCCGGCTATTTCTGACGTTCGCCATCGCTCGCGCCGTCGAGCAAGCAACCACCCCAAAATATACGTACGTTCGATCGAACGCACTAAACATCGCGAACCGGTAAATATACGCATAAGATCGTACGCTTTCGGACTTTAACTCTTCGTCCAAGAACGTTTATCGCTCGACCTCGAGGGACCACGCTACATAGAAGTATTTTATAAAGATCCCTCTCATGAACGTGAAAAACTTAATAAATTTCATTTTATAAAATTGATTTATTCGTTTATGAAAGTCCAGTTCATATTAATCCCAAAGGGATATAAAATTGATTTCGATACGAAACGATCGCAGCAGATTGACATACTGAAAAAGTTGAACAATATTCTTTTGCTATTTATAACTCTTAGAACGCGAAGGCACTCGATCGTCCACATCGAGTTTGCTCCATTTTGCCTCATGTATATGTCTGAAAACTTTCCGCTAGAGCATTCTCGTCCTGTCTGGCAACTTTTCATTAAAACTCGCTAAATAGCGTCGCTTGGCGGCTGGTGACTAAGATAAACAGGCGACGAAGGCTGAGAAAATGACTGGTAATGCGGCCCGCGTGTCGTCAACCTTTTTTTTTTTCTAACTCGCGCGTTCCGAGCATTGCTCGAGTTGCTTCGCTTCGCGACACGCAAGCAACGCAACGCGCGGCAGTCCCCTTTCTTTAGAGTCTCTCTGACTCTCACGCTTCGACCATAGTAATCGTGTTGTATTGGGCCAAATAGCAATTTTCTAATCATCCGCGTCTCTTGATGAAAGCCTTCGACCACGTGGAGCCTCTTAATTCTCCCAATCAAGCTAGTCTTCGCTTTCGAATTCTCCACCTGAATGAACGTAGACTTTTGATTAAAAAAAAAAAGAACTGATCTTGTGTTGAAGAAAAATTCTTTTAACGAATGAGTCGAGCTGTTTAGCAAGATGTTTTGTAACGAATAAAATAAGATATAACGAAATTTTCGAGTGTATTCTTATATAAATCTCCTCTCGTTAAATATTAAGTTATAAATAAATAGTGAAATAATTTTTTTGAAAGTTGAGGTGCGAGCTCTTTTTTTAAAAATTTATTTAAAAATATTTAATGGCCGGTACTATTGTTATAATCGATCAGGAACTGTAGTACTCTTCGAGTACTGTGAGATTCCGTCATAAAAATCGGCTTTTTCAAATCTTGCGGTGCCACGCGAAGTTAGCACCGCATATTTTTATTTTTTAAAATTTTTGGCCTAAATCAACACAGTACTATTGATGAAACCTATCAGGAACTCTAGAAATATTGCGGGTGCAAGCAGTACTGTTATTAAAATTTCCGATTTTTAAAGTTGAGGTGCTAACTTCACAGAGACCATTTGATGTTTCATCATAAGATATCATTTGATACACAATTCAGTTTCAAAATAGTGAATAAAAAGCGAGCAAAAGCTATCGATTTTATGGTCTCTTTCTTTACAAGAGAAACATAATTTATCAAAGACTTTTAATTTATTTGTTGTATTAAAGGCTTAAATTATTTTTGTATTAAAGAATTTATCTTGAAAATTGAGCATGAATGGACACGTTGATCGTCTGATTCGTAATTATGTATGATCATATAGAAATCACTGATAGGAATACGTTAAAATTCATTGTGCACGTATTTAAAAGATTCCATATATTTCAGGATCTTGCGAGTTTCCATCGAGTTGGTCGGGAGAATGGTTTCAATACGGCAAGCCTCTATCAGTCATTATAAACAGTACCGTTCTCGGAGAACGAATGTGCGTCGAAAGAATGGATGACAAATATATTACTTTGTAAGTATCTTCTCTTTAAATCAAAAGAAATATTACTATTCCATCACTTCATCACAAATTATTCAATTTGCAACTGACAATAAACATTTTGCTTGTAGTTTCAGCAGTGAAAGCTGTTATCACTGTATGATCATCAACAGGCGCCATGAGAACGTTATTCAATATCGCGAAAGTATGTACATTGAATCTGAATTCATCGAATTAAACATAAAGCTTGAAGTGCAATTCAGGAAAAGGAGATTTCATTAGAACCCGTTAATTGTTCTTCACAGCAAGCTGGTGCAATCAGGAACGATTGCGTTTGGAAGATATGTGCTCGGATATTACTTCGGACGATATGCTCTATTCGATGTTTCGTGTGAACTCGAAACCGATATCTTGTCCATTTAGCGGGGCATCGTTCACATTCACGTACAATCGAGGTTACGGCGAGTGTGCTATGCCTATAAGTCTCGTGGAGAAATGTACTGACGAGAGCAAACTCCTCCTCAAGTACCAGGCTTGTCCGGACGTCGCGGGAACCGAGAGTAACAGTAAGTTGTAAAATTATTGTCATTAAAACTACATATTGCGTCAATTTATTTTATATATACCGTGTTTAATCTATTACATCGTATTTCTACAGCACATGTATGAAAAGATTGATTTAATTTATTGATATCGCAAGCAACATTTGCAATTAATATTGTAATTTTATCTAGATAAGTTTAATAGTATCATGAGTATATACACAAGTATCAATAGTATACACAAAAATGTATGTATTATTGTAAAAGTAATATCTGATAAAATTATATTTTATAATTTAATTGTTTTGGTTTAATTTTTTTTAGATTTCTATGATTTGACTAAAAATTTCATAAATATGTTTTGTAAAACATGTTTAATGTAATACAAACAATATTTATGAATAATATATATTTATCTATAAATATATATATCTACTATAATAATGAAAATCTATATGCAATTAAATATTTGAAATATATATATTTTACATTTCAAATTTTTGTTTTTTTATATAATATTAAGTTTTTATGTACATATTTGATTATTTGCAGCCGAAGAATTACAATGCCTTGCCAGTTGGAACGATGGTCGAAATAAATATCTCGTAGGAACTTTAAAAGAAAGGAGCGCACTGAATGACGCAAAAACCTACAGGTGTGAAATATGTTTATATTTTAATTCTATGTAACGTTTTATCCAAAGTCTGTGACAGCAATGGTTTTTGTTGCAATTTTATCGCAGTATACTTATACTGCGCGCATCAAGTAGTTTATTGACAGCCATTGCACATTTCATGTCGTGGTCTTTATGGCGTAAAAATACTAAACTTGGTAAGGTGAAAAGATGGTTAGCCACTCATTTGTCATCTTTCACATAGACATCATTGTTATAACTTCCTCCATAAAATGTATATATAGATATATGTACGCTGATGGAAACACGATGTCTGACCAACAAAGAAATCAAAAATTTTCTTTGAAAAATTTAAGATCGTTATCGAATGATTCTTTTCATTTGATAGATGTTTCTTGTACGAAGAAAAGTCTCATCATCAAGGAAAGACGATTTATTTACTTGCACAGTCTGGCGACCCGACTTGCAATGGTCTAACCACAGTTTCCGAAGGTTCACCCACTATAAAACTTATTAAAGGTAATTGTACGAACAATAAATAAAAAGATCTTTCAGGATAAATTAAAATAATTATGCCATCAATGCTATCTTTTATATTTCCGCATTATTTCTTTTGTTAATAGTTGACAAAGAGCACAGTAGATGCAAATATCCTGCCTGGGTAACTCAGCACCATGATTGGCATTCTCTCAGTGGTATGAAAAGCTATCACTTTACAAACAAGAATGCGACGTTGAGAGTAAAGATGCAAGTACAGAATACTGATGGTGAAATCTTCCACGAGGAAAAAATCGTTTGTCATAATTTGGAGAAGCTGTACCCGAATGACAACATGCAAGGGAATAAAGTGAAACTGATTGCTCATGTCACCAGCGGCTGGTAAGTGACTTTTAATTTGAGATTTTTAACGTACACAATTATTCGAATCTTACTTATGATTGCAGCGATATTGGTTACGTTTGCATGATATTTCACAAAAGAGACGGTCATATCATCGAGATACAGCAGTCAGGTGAGAAAAACTATACTGTACAGTGTTTAAATCAGTATTACGTAACAAATATATACAATGTTTTTTTTCTCTTTTATTGCAGATCAAAAGGCAATTATGCCAGACGAAGCGTGCTCAATCTCGGATCCCTCCACGATGCCGTATACGACTTTAATAAGTAAGTACTAATCTATATTACGTCGCTTATAAATATTGATATAGGAAACGTATGCGCTTTGTTATAGTGTTGCGGATTAGTAGGCGAATAGCAAAACGTATGCAAATTATTTTTATTTTCTACAGCCACATCCTTGTATTCGAGAAGATGTCCTAATTCAGGACAGTATGAGATTCTGGATTTTGCTTCGTCGGATGCAATGTCAACCGCCGTATCGAGTCGGCAGCAACGTAGCGAGGTATCGAGGACGACCATGAGGCGAACTTGGCAGGACAATGAAGACGAGAAATGCAGAAGTACTGATATTCAAATAGGCTGCACCTCGTACGATCAATCTGAAATTATAATCGGCAATACGTGCGAACAAGAAAAGATTGGTAAATATAAATGAACGTTTATTATTTGTTATAATTTATATAGAAAGCTGTACATAAGGAGTAAAAAAGACTAAAGACTCGATGTATTTTGACAGCCTACTCTTGTCACGGCAGCTGGGAAGAAAAAGGAATGTGGTATACGATAGCGTCGCAACGGAATTCTGAAATCCCTGGCAGTCCAGGACAAACGTTTTGTTTTTCTATGCTTCTCGAGAACGTTAGAGACAAAGGCAGTAGACAGAAGCAAGAAAAAGAATTATGGTTGTCGAGGCCATCGCGTACTTGTCAAAGAGAAGTAAAAAATGAATGGACGTATAGACTGTCCAATCAAGGTAATTACAAATATGAAATACGATATTTTGCGATTAAAAATAATTGAAAAATTGCAAAAATGTTTGCGATTAAATATTGAAACTGAGAGAGCCAGTAACGATTATTGTTGATCTTGGCATGTTGTCAAAATCATGACCTTGAATAATCTCCAACAGGTTTTAGCCATCGCACGTTATTTATTAAAAAGTTATTATCAAAAGTTTGAAGAAAACGTCTTATTTTTGTCACATACAATATTAAGAATTGCTCTATACCTTCCTTTGCTTACGTAATGACTTTCCACGCAAAGCGAGATTCACTCCATTTGGGATCCTTTAACGCACACGACTTTCCATGTGAAGCTTCTATCTCACTTTCTCTCCTACCTAGGAGCGCAGAATTTTCTACACAAAATAGTTCACCCTACCTCTCTCTGCTTAGAACTTGTGTGACTTGCTAAGCGAAGTAAGATCTACCTCCATATAAAATCATAAGCTCTTAGGAAGAGAGGAAATAAGGTGGAACTCATTTCACGTAAAAAGTCATGCGTCCCTTAGACGTTAGTGTTGAAGTGGACCTCACTTTGCATGAAAAATCATTATGTCTCAAAAAAGGGATGTAAAATAATATTTAATGTTATATATACTAAAAATAAGACAGTATTTTTTAAACACCTTTTATTAATAACTTTTTAATGAACAACGAGCAACAGCTAAAATTTATTAGAGGTAATTCTGGGTTATAATTTTGATAACAATTTTGATAAAATGTTAAGGCATAGTCATCAGCGCTGGCTTCCTTTATCTCAATATTTACCATAATATTTTAAATATTCAGGTAGTATCTTATTAAAATAATTTATTTGTTGAAAAAAAATATATATAATTACGATAATTTTTATCACAGTTCACCATAATTTGAAGATGTATTACATTATATGTAGGTTTAAATGCATGAGTAAGTATGATATAAATATTCAACATTGATATTTTATTTTAGGAATGTGCGAGGTCTTAATGAAGGATTCAAACGCAGCGTCTGCTTCGTCGTTGTCCCAGCTTCTGTTTATTTTACATATAGCAGCTTACGCCGCTATTAATACGCTATGCGTATTACTTTTGAGATGATCTGCAGCTATTATATAAGACTGTCTAAGTACTGTAATTTCCAGCACGAATTCTCAGGTATTGCGTGTTTCTGGAAGTGTATATAGCTCAAAAAGTTTGTAAGCTATTTACCGATCGATAAGCTGTCGTAAACAAGAGATGGGAAATGTGCAGCTAAACATCTATTATAGACAATATTAATTTCCGTTTAGTTGGAACATTACGTAAATCGGTGATTAAGAGTGTTCCCATTAGAAATGAAGCGATTTAAATATATTTATAAATTATTTTTTTATACATACAATACTTACTCAGAAAGGCGTTCCTCAACTTGAAAGAAAATAATTGCTTGGCACAAGTTTCCTTTCAGTTGCAATCATGTTGTTGTCATCGAGGTAATAGTAATTTCGTTTAGGCCAACCTTATGTGGACAATGCAACACAGGGGTCAGATAGTACCGATTATGCAGTAGACATTCAGAATATTGATTCCTTTGATCAAAATGCATTATTTGCAATTTTTTGTTTTTATGTTTTAGGTAAATACATAAAAACGTATGTGTTTGAAAATATAATACGGTTTAATTATATTTTCGTATATATGAAGTATATACACTCACAGGCAAAAAAAAACGGACTATTAAATTTTAGCACAAATTTTTAATATCTTCAAACAGCGATAATTCAGTAAAAAATCATTGCAGCGAAATGTTTAAAAAAGCATTTTAAAGCTTGAAATCTCTACTTTTCAGATCGGTATTTCAAAAAACAGTATTACTGATATTTCGTGAAGTTACATAAACATAAATAATGCGTCAAACTTTAAAATTTTTGTGCGTTTACTCAAATTTTGTTTACATTTTATTTTTTCTTTCTAACCATTGTATAAATTTTTAAAGAAAATTAAATGTTTTCGAGAATATTTGTGCTTGTACACGATGTATGTTATAAATTTGTCTTAAAGAATATTTTGATTTTCATGATTTTATGCCGTATAATTGGTACTATTTGCCCACTGTGGCAACGGTTGCCTGCGCAGTAGTAGAAATGCTGTCGCATACTTATTGTCATAAAAATTGTCACAATCTGTTTGAAACTGTTTTCGTAAAACATTTATTCAACATTTCCATCAATTGAATGGAAATATATTTCCAGTAAAATTGCTCACCCGTAAACAGTACATGACACCGCCGTAGATATGATGAAGCTACATCTCTGGTAAATAAAAATTACAGAATAGAATAAAAAACATAATATTTATATATATATATATATATATATATATATATATATATATATATGAAATTCTCGTCTTATGTTTTAACGAAATAATGATGAAATGGTATTTTCTTAAAAACGAGTCTACAAAATTGGGTTTCAAGATGAAAGTAAATAATTTCTTTGACAGTTCTCAGTTTTTTCATCTTGTTGACAAATAGTTTGAAAATTCTTTGTATCATCTGAATTTCCGATAATTTATTATATAATTGTAAGAGAGCAATCATCCAATTGTTACCTGAATATTGCTATGAAATTGCTCATAACCAAAAGTTAGTAGCGATAAAAAAAATGATAATTCAATAAGCAAAATTAAAAACAACTTTCCTCAATATTGAAAGCAACTTAAAGCAATTTCAAGCAAATTGATATTTGACAACAACTATGGGAAACTTGCTATCTGGATTATTGTAATTTACTGCAGTCTAGTATTCTAAACGAGTGATCAAACTCTAGATTACTAGTATTTTTTTAGATATAACGTTTATTAGCTATATACTGCCTGAATTGTTGATTAATTACAATAATTCTCAATGGATAATTATCTGATAATTTTTGATTGCTCATATATTTTTCACTTAATTTTATGCGAAAGAGAACCGAGATGATTTCAGGACTAGACAAAGACACTGTAGATTGTATTTCAAATACAAAAAATATTCTATAGAAACTTGTATTTCAGATATAAAATACTGTTAAAAAGTAGTTAAAAAGATACAAAAAATATTCTTGAAAAATTTGCTTCATGATTAAGATTAACATTTCGTATCTCAAACATTTTTACATCATACGTGTAAATGTACTTTTGTTGGAAATAAGGCCTAAATTTTCTTAATGTGCAATATTTCATGCAACAAGTTTCTATATAATTGTACAAAGATTTCATCCTTTACAGTTGAATTGTTCATATTTTACATCGTACATATATTTGAAATACTATCTAGTCCTGATATAATACTTCTGAAATTACGAAGGTGTATACATTTATGAGACAACCTCAAATCACGACCATTTCAGAATATTTATGTAAACTCGAAAACTCGTGTACATTATTGAATACCATCGCGCTACTGTAAATACGACCAGGGTATAAGTAATCGATTTCAATTGGATTATTTTCGAATAAAGATTGAAATATTGCTATGTAATTACAGTTCGACAGATTGAACTCATATTTGGATCTAACGTAATATATAACACATAGGTTCTATCTTTTAGCTAGTATATACAATTGTACATAATATAATTGAGATATTGTATAAAGACTGTTTCTAAAAGAGTATAACAAGAATACTGCTCACGATATTGCATTTTGTCATTGGAAGTGCATAGATATTGCGTTTGCAAAGATATTCTTGAGATCGGCCTCGCAATAGAAGATCCGCGAAAATACAACACACTCCTGCTACACTATATTCTAATTTGTAAACCAAAATAAATTCAAAGAAAAGGATCGATCAAACAAATTGATTAAAAATATCTTATAATAATTTTTTATATTAATAATTATGAAATTAATTAAAGATAAAATTACATTGAAAAGTTTAAGCCTTTTAATAATAAAATTTAAATTATAAGCTTTCAATTCTGTCAAAAGAATAATTTTGTTAAACGATGTCTTATCAATCTTTTAAAATTGCATACAACAAGGGAGAGATAAGTTTATCTTGGCACCTTCTACAAAAGTTATAAACTTTTGGCTCTGAAATTAAATGCTTGATTAAGATTAATAAATCATTTTAGTGTATTTTTTGTAAAATTGAAGACAAACCGTATTCAACCTATTAAATAAAATTGTACATTAATTAACATCGTTAATCATTAATCAGTATATAAAAGATTTCCAGTGGGCCTAATACAAAGGTAGGCGAGTGTGGTACATTTGCGGACGCATTAAGACTTGTATTAGTTGAGCGTGAGTAGCGTTTTTGCATTTCTAGCATAGAGTTAGTGGATGTTGGAATAGATCGATCGCGCATCTCGCTCCTCCCGATCGATGATACGAGTATATACAGTTCGATGTATGCATCGGAAATGGATATGCGTGAAAACTGATAGACAGTTGCGATTTATACACACTGAATAAATACATCACGATGTGGGGATTTCCTCTGAACAATTTTCCGGGTGATACATTTTTTCGATAACTTGATATGCGTGCGATCTCTAGTGCGAGATCTGTTCGCGATGTACAAATACTGGCAGCTGGAACTTGTGTACTTCGCATGCTTTTTTCTTCTACATTTTCGTCAATTAAGATAGTGTAACGACTAACAAAGGTACTTATGATCCGGCGGTAAATTATACCGTATTAATCGGTTGACTCCGAGTAACATTATCACCATCGTATCTCTTAGAGATTCTCTAGGTAGAGTTCGGCCAAAGCTCCGACATGATGTTGTGAAACCGGAAATGACGTGTGAAAATGCGCGCCCTTAGAGGATCTCTACGTATCTCTACACATTCCGTAAAATGTAATTTAATAATACAGATTTAGATGGCGCAGGAACTTTATTACTGTGCGTTTTATTTGATGTTTTAGATTAGAACATTCAGTTTTTGCAGCAATTTAGGCATTATTAAAATACCATAAACTTTTATTTCCAACACTTCGAAAGTTCAACATGGCTAAAGTGATAGAAATTAAAGTTTCAAGATTTAAAGGTGCTAGTCCGTTCGGATACGTATAACGTTTGACTAATAGAGCCTCCAACGAATTTTAGAATTAACGATTAACTTTCCAGAATAATAGACAACAAAAGCATTAGATCAACTAGAATGCATTTCTAGATGCGTCTACTGCACTAGTTCGACCACCAAGTAGAGATATAATAGCATACCAAGTCTATATATGATATCACGAACGGAAAGGAAAACCGAGAATACGGTCCATCACGCGAGCCTCAATAGTTTTATATTTTTCTCAACTGACACACTGAAGTACGTACACGTACAAAGTTTTATTGATTATATATGTATGTGTGTGTACATATATATGTATATGCATACGTAGATATGTACTTGCATATATTATGCCACGTGCTCATATAATTAAGAGTTAAAACCGATAGGAAAGAGCAACGTGTAGAGGAACATGTACATACCTATGCGGACGTACGTTTTATTATACAATTAGTCGGATCTACATCCATTAACTCTGTGATATATCCATCACATCTAGAAGCAAATGTGACAGCCAAAAAAAAAAGGAGAGAGAGAGAGAGAGAGAGAGAGAAAAAAAGAGATGAACGAAGCTGAGCTCTAAAGGCATTTTTTATTGTATATATTATATATTTTCTAAAATCTAAATAATGGACTGTTCCGGAATTCAGGAGATTTGTTAACGAGCGAATGTGTATGGATTCGAATTATTAAACACTTGAGCATTTAAATAGAAGACATGCAGATTCTTATTTTTGTACAGATAGGACGAACTATCGCGATATCCTACTTCCGCACGCACGCACGTACTCAACACACACACACACACACACACACACACATACACTCTCGTGCGCGAGCGTGAAACTTTCACGAGCTAAGCGAAAACGTAGTCATATACATATGGAATATATTTTACATAAGTTTTCTAACTACCGTATCATAGATATATTGTTAGTGTCCATCTCCGAAAGCAGGATGCAAATCTCAACTTTAGACGCCTATTTCATTATCGTCACACTCTTACTTTTATCATTTTTACCGATGTTATCGGCGTACTAGTTCTCTGTTATATTGTACAAT